GCTTCATTTCATAGACATGTTTTTCCCCATGTTTGAATGCTTGTCTTTACACCTGAGACTCGGTGCTGCCAGCCTTGACTGATTCAGACTGTTTTATTTATGTGTTCTCAAGTTTCACTCTCATGAATTGACTTTCCTTGCGGGGTTTGTGCCTTTTAAAATTGCTCTTCTCTTTGGTCTTTGAATAGATAAGACTTTACTTCTGAGCGGGCACAACGGTGGAATTTGAACTAGACATCCTCCAAATGAAGGAGTTTTTTATTTGGTTTTCCATCTATTCCTAAATCTTGGGTAGTGGTATGCCTATTGTTTTTTAATCACTTCCTCATATTTAATTTTGCTTTCAAGCCCCCAAATAGGTGAGCCAGGTCACATTTCACGATGGTCTCTTCCCCAACCTCAGCAAATTCTCACGGTTTGGTCTCTTAATTGCTGAGAGGTTGTGAAGTTTAATTTCTGGTAGCCCTGAAATGTTGTATCATGTTTGGGGTACAAGCCCTTGCTTTGATTTCAGTATTTGGTAGGATGGAGTAGGACTCTGTGTTTCTGCTCTTCTGGAGAGAAGAGGCAAAGCAATGTGGTATCTGTGACAGGAGTCAATGAAATGGCTGTTGGGTAAAGCAGAGATGCCATATATTTGGTTAGCATCAAAACAGTCATCAGGCCCTAGTTGTCAGAATTGGTTCCTTGACGCTCCTTTCCCACCAGTTAAATAAAGGCCAGTGTCCGTGGTCCTTTAGACATATGTTAATTCATCCTTGACAGCTTGGCTGTTTTGGTCGAGGAAGTACTTCAGGGTGTGGGCACTTTCTATCGAACTATCCTGTCTGGTTTACCAATAGCTTACTTCCCCTACCCTAATTGACCGCCCTGCTGTCAGTTTTCCAGCTCTTTATCTGTTTGAAAGAAATGTATCTAATGTAAAAGCGTGACCCTGTAAATGTTGCTGCTTAAGCAGCCTTTTGTGTCGGCTTTACTCAAAGACTTCCAAATACGGGGCCTCTCATTATTCAGGTTGAGGAGCTGCCACTTCGTGCTGTGATGATGGCCAGTGGGATATGTCGTTAATCTCTGTTGAACTCAGGTGTAGCTTTAGATTTTTTTCACTACACTTGATTGTTGAACTCACTGGACCCCTGTGTGTCTGAGCACCAGGATGATTTGCCAGATTAACCAGACACAGAGGCTACTCCTTAAGCAGCTGCTGTTATCAGTTGCAATTCTCCAACTGTCAGCAGTGGTTCAGCCACACTTGCCTTAGCCAGGCAGGAATTCTGCTCCCTCAGGCACTGATCCTATCATGGCCTCTAATGGGAACTTTATCTAGATTTCTACCCCGTGTAGAATTCAGGATTCAAAGGATGAAGTGAAATTCTGCTTGTTCAGAGAGGCTGAATAGCAGGGTAGTAGCCTCCCTTCCCTACCTCCTGTCTACCCCCAAACAGGGCGTCCTTCTGCTCCGCCCCCACTTAAGAACCCTAGCTACACATGGTTCTTCCGTACCGCTTCTGTCAGCTCGTTGCTGACTCAGCCTTCGAACCCAGGTTACTTTTATTTAATCAAACAAATGTAATCCATCTTTGCATCATTAAACAAATATTCCACAGCATCAATGAATGTAACACATCTTCAATTAATATCCCACAACAACAGGCCTCTCCCTAGATCCAGTCTCAAGGGTTAGGCCCCTGAATTCCAGAGTACCTGTTGAGTGGTCTTTAGAGGAGACATACCAGGGCCTGAGAATTCTGTTCTTTTTGTTTGTTTGTTTGTTTTTCAAGACAGGGTTTCTCTATTGTTTTGGAGGCTGTCCTGCTTTGTAGACCAGGCTGGCCTCGAACTCAGAGATCCACCTGCCTCTGCCTCCCAAGTGCTGGGATTAAAGGTGTGTGTCACCAATGCCCCATTTCTCCATTCTTAAATGTCCCACTGCCAACCTCCCACTTTACTGAAATACTAGTGGACATTTCAGCTCAGCATTTCCTACACTGTCTGCCAAAAATCTTCACATATGTCATTGACAGTCCTCCTTTCTTTGCTGGTGGCATCTGCATTGTTTTCTTGTTATAGTCTGCATCTGTTTAATTCTTTTTTCCAACCCTGATACAGCAAAGAGTCCAGACCCTCCCCCAACCCCCTGCTTTAGCAGCCATGACAGGCTGCAGAAAAGACCCAGCAAGACAGAGGTCCCTGATTCAGCAGCATGTGCTGGGCTTGCCTGACCTTCTAGTCACTAGGTCAGATTACCCTCCACGTGGCAAGGAACCAATCAGAAGTTAGCTGGCAGCTCTGGGCGTGCTTTACGGCCCTTTACAGTAAAAGTGGTAACAGTGCCATGCAGAGCATAGCAACTGCCCTGGGAGGGCCTAAAGTCCATAACAACCAGTTGACCAATCAACACAGGACATGCTGCCCAAGCCTGGAAGTACACCAATCCTGAGACTGCTCTTGCATACCCCAAATTAACTGCCTCGAGATTTCTATAAACTGCCTCGAGATTTCTCCAAGTCCTTCCTACTTAGCCCGCCATGATGAACTGACAAGGGGCCTGAGTTAACTCGTTAAACAATAAAAGACCTTCCTAATGCTTTGACCCTTTAATACCGTTCCTCATGTTGTGACCCCAACCATAAATTTTTTGTTATTACTTCATAACTAATTTTGCCGCTGTTATGAGTTGTAAATATCTAATATGCAACCCTGTGAAAGGGTCAGTTGATCCCCAGGGGGTTCAAAAACAACCCACAGGTTGAGAACCACTTCTCCATCGTTGTCCCAGAGAGCTGGAACCAGCTTCTTCTACACTGTACGTTGTAGTTGCCTTCCACGGACCACAAGCACTCTTCATGACATCTAGAGTAGTGAGCCCTTCACAGGAAGTTTTAATTTACCGGGGAGCCTTGGAGGAGTCACTGTGGCAGCTGTGTCTGTATGAAATGCATGTCTTCAGTAGCTAAGATTGGAAAGTCAAGATGATCCCACAAGGCTACAGGATAGGTGTTGCTTTATCTGGGAGCACAGTCTAACTGCATGTCTCTGAATGCTCTTGTGTGGTTAGAAACATTAAAAACTGATATTGCGAACAGAGTATTATCCGAGCAGCGAGTCTCAACAGGGAAATACCCGGAGGCCATGTTTTAAGCAGATGTGCTGTTGTGCACACATGCTTCTCCATGTAGAGGGCTTCAGTGTCACTCTTAATGGCCCTAGGATTTGAGCATTGTTCTCCATTTGCAGTAACTGACTGTATTGGTCTCTTAACAGAACTAATTTGTCTTTTCAAGTGAGGCATTCATTTTTTTCTACCTGTGAAAGTGGAATCTGGAATTGTCTACTATATCGCTGTTTTGTCTGTTTTGAAAATACCGTTGCTCAGGACAGCCATCTTCATCCATTCTGTTAGATCTGGGGGAACTTGCTGTTTCTACGTGAGCATGGAGACACAGCCTTAACCCTTAGGAGCTAATCTTCAGCCATCTCTCAGCCTTCAGAATTGCATTTAGAGTCTTGCTCTGCATTAGGCCTTGGCTTCTGGGAATGCAATGGTTGATTTCATCTTCTACCCAGACCATACAACTTTTTCCACATCAGCAAGAAGGCTGTTTCGTTTCCTTACCATTCTTGTATACAATGAAGTAGCCATTTCATTCTTAAGGAAATTTTTCTTCACTTTCACAGCTGGGCTAACTAGTGAGGCCTAGCAGTCTGCCTGTCCCAGCTTTCACCGTTTCTTTCTCCTACAACTTCATCAAATAGCTTATGGTTTAAAATGAGAGCTGGGACTATTCCTTTCACTTAAAAACTTAGAGACCACAGTAGGCTTGGTTGATAATTTCAGTTTTGTCTCTGGGAATAGGAAAGGCCCAAGGAAAGTGAGATGGGGTATCAGGAGTGGAGTTTGAATGAGTACGATGTCTTACACGGTCATGGTTTGTGGTATCCAAATGCACCCAAATGTTTGGTATTAACTGCAAAGTTCATAGATTACAGGTTGTCATAATTTATGAAATAATAAAAATAAAAGTTTTATTTGTTGTTATGTTTTTGTTGTTTTTCTTCAAGATGGAGTTTCTCTGTGTAACAGTCCTGGTTGTCCTGGAACTCACTCTGTAGACCAGGCTGACCTCAAACTCACAGAGATCTGCCTGCCTCTACCTCCTGAGTGCTGGGATTAAAGACATGCATCACTGTCTCGAAATAAAATTTAAGTGTTGCCAAAGTTACCAAAATGTGACACGAAGTGAGCATGTGCTATTGGGAAAGTGGCTTTAATAGACTTGCTTGGTGCAGGATTTATAAAAACAAAAACAGTATCTATGGCATGCGATATCATGCAAGCTGCATATGAGTCAGTGTTAGGATTGCTTGGTCTAAGGGGCAGGGAGAGGAGTAGCTGAGTAGACAGAAGAATGGCGGAGGAACTCATGTCAGAATGAGCCGCTGTCAGAGCTGTCTTGCCAGCTCTGGAATCCAGTTCCTTCATAAAGACTGCAGAAAGAACAGTTCACTGGAAAGTCCTGGAGACTACCCAGGCCTTGTGATGGCAGTGCCTGACAAAACACCTGCTCTTGAAGAACAAGGGACATCTAGGGGAATGGGACAAGACTTACACACAGGAATAAGAAATGTCGGTTGGGGATTGAAGATTGAAATGAGGCCTGATACTAGGCTGTGCTGCCACACAGAGTCTTTGCCGTGTATGGTCCTACACATAGGATAAGGCCCAGGGCCAGAGCTGGGTCCCTGTGATCAGAGGTTCGGGTGAGAGAAAGCTATACTAGTTGGACAAGAAGAGAGAAGCAAAGATGGCCCATCATCTGCAGTGGGCCGAGCAGCTGAGCAGAAGCCCATCCAGGTTTGGATCCTCAGTCTTCTCTTCCCACCCAAAACAGACCCATACAGCAGAGATAGATTCTAGAATGTTCTCAAGTTTTCTTCTCCCAAGTTTGAAGCAACTTGCTGTACACTAAACTATGATTAGCTAGTAACAAGCTCCATTCTCTGATACCCCAACAGGCTTTATTTGTACAAACAAGATAGCACCACCACATCCCCCTTTTTTGTTTAAAAATAAAAAAGGTTATCACCAATATAAGAAAAACTATACACAATAAGTACAGTAAACATGTACAGTATATACAGGTAAGTACATTAACAATGTCTAGTCCATTAGCATTTGGCAAATTGAGAGGTAATATTCCGTTTACTCTTTCTTAATGAGTCCAAAGTCTTATACCCAATTTACTTTCTATCCTAATTTACATTATCACATCTTTTAATGTCTTGCAAACCTATACATAACACATTTTTAGTGAGTTTCTTATTGAGTCTGTTAAACAAGGAGAGCTATAACTATACTGTAGTCTTCAACGCTCTCAGAGACCCAAGAAGGAAATATTAACTGAGTAAGCAGGAAGTGGGAGCAAGTGACTTCCAAAAAATGTGAGATAGGACAGAAGCACCTGGCCACCTGGCCATTGACTGATAAAGCCAATGTAAAGTAGGTGGAGTCTGGGAGATGCCAAGGAAGAAAGAGACCCAGGCATCACTGGTAAGCCAAGCCTACGCGGAGACACACAGATTAATAGAAATGGGTTAATAAAAGAGAGCTAGCCAATAAGCCTGAGCCATAGGCCAAACAGTTCGTAATTAATAGAAGCCTCTGTGTGTTTATTTGGAACTAAGTGGCTGTAGAACTAGGGCGAGAATTCCAAATAGATTCATATCTAGGTGCTGTTCTCAGTAGACAGGTGGAGAACCCTAATCCCAGTTTGCCTGAACAGACTCACATTTGCTGACAGGTCACACAGATGGACATATACACCAACGGCAGGAAGAGAAGTCAGGAGCTCTTCTTAGTGCATTCGACCATCATATGGCTCAGTTCCATAGTCACACTGCAGAGGAAAATTCATGAAAATGCAGGTCGCCAAGCATCGGTGCTGAATAGCCCACTGCATATTAATCCACCTGCATTCCAAACCCAGGAACCTACAACATAGCCCTGCCTGCTGCCACTCTTGCCTTCGACTTCAGGGTCTCCTATGTCTTAAGAATTTAGAAGCCTTAAAAGCCCACAGGAGACGGGGGTTGGCGGTTGGAATTAAAGGCTCCTGTCTATACTCCCACAAGGGTCTCAGGGCTAGCCCTTCCAAACTTACAGGTGGCCTGAACATAGCTGCCACTTGTGCCTGTAGAAAACAAAACTTGTGAGAGGTCGTGGAGGCAGCAGGGCCATGACAGCCTAAAAGAACCAGCAAATCCCGGGACACGGGGAGGTGTCTTGAACTTGATGCAGACTACAGGGCTAGATGAAGCAACAGGAAGGGATGTGTGCAAAAGGGCCAACTGCCCTCTTGGAGGTCAGTGTCTCCAGAGGAATTTCTGACCTGCAGGCACTGGGAGCCAGGTCCTCAGGCCATGGTCACCTTGGTAATAGATAATTTCTTGTTTTACACAATTTACACAGCACACAGGACTGGGAAAGTGTGTAAAGCTGTACAAACTTCTAAAGGCTTCTGATTCCCTTAGGAACACATACCATAGAGGGCTCAGTGGGTTAGGTGCTTGCTATGCAAGCCTGTTGACCTAGTTTGACCTCCAGAATCCACATGAACCGGAGAGAACTCTACAAAGCTGTCATTTGCCCTAGGCATGCATACGATGACACACATGAACATACTGATGCCATGCACATTCACAATAAAGACCCCAGTCTCCTCTCACCATGCCTCCTTGGTAACTTTCTCCACATCACAGCAGTGACGGCAGCTCCAAGGAGAACCAGGCCAGCAGTGACTCCCACAATGGGATCTATGTGCTGAGGAGGTGGGTCTGGGAAATAAAAGGAAAAGTGAGGGGCCTTGGCTCTACTCAGGGTCTCCAGAGGGCTCCCGTTTTCCTTGACAGCCTACCCCGTCCTTACCCCATCTCAGGGTCAGGGGCTCATGCAGCCCCTCATGATCCACACGACATGTGTATCTCTGCTCCTCCCCAGGAGGCACCACCACAGCTGCCCACTTCTGGAAGGTTCCGTCCCCTGCGGGCCTAGTCTCCACAAGCTCCATATCCTGGGTCTGGTCCTTCCCATCCCTCTGCCAGGTCAGGGTGATGTCAGCAGGGTAGAAGCCCAGAGCCCAACACTTCAGGGTGATGTCTCCTTCAAGTCTGGGATGATGAGTCACGTGTGTCTTTGGGGGATCTGAGAATTCAGGTTCAGAGACTTCATTACCTTCCCTGATGAACAGGACTCTTTAGGCGGGAAAGGAGGCACAAAACACGGGCTTCTAGGATACTCTCTACCTTGGAAAGTCCTAGAACCAGCTGGAGCCAGCCCAGAGTGAGATGTCGTCCCAAGTCTCAGAAATGAACATTGGGTTCTGACCTGGGGGAGGCCGGGTGGGTGACTCAGAAAAACTTAACCAAACTTCCAAAGACACCGGAGTGGGGGCAGGTAAACAAAGTGAGTCTCCAGCTAAAGTCCCAGGCTGGAGGGTGGTGAGCTACTACTGCAGGAACTGACTTCTCCTGCAAGACAGGGCTTCTTTAACTGTCCAGAGAGAACCCAAGAAGATTCACGCAGGCTAAACCAGAAGGGAGGGAGGTGGCCTTGCAGGAAACCCGAAGCAGGGAAGTCTACACAGGGATCCAGGTGTTTGCGGGCCCCTGGATACCTGCACGTTGCAGTATCTCTCTCCCCTTCTCCAGATGGCTGCGGAGCCACTCCATGCATGTAACTTTCAGGTAGGCCCTGTGGTGCTCCGCCTCATTCGTTGCCTCATACTTGCGCTGGGTAATTAGAGCCACCTCGTTCGCAGCAGTCCAGGAACGGAGGTCCTCGTTCAGAGAGATGTGGTCGGCGCCATCATACGCCGTCCTGTAGTACCCGCCGAGGAAGCGCCCGTCACTGCCCATATAGCAGCCCCGCATGGTCTGGATGGTGTGGTACCCTGGAAGGCAGAAGTAATCAGCCCCAGAGGCCTGGCCCCGCCCGCTGCTCTCAGCCCGGCCCCACGGAGGAACGGAGGAGCACGAGTGGTTGAGAGTCCTTCCACCCCGCACCTCCCCATGCCCAGACTGGTGGATTTCTCCGTCTCTGTGCGGTCTAGGAGATGCTCCCGGCAGTAGCCTTGGGTTATGAGCCTGGTCGACTATTTGGGGCGCCATTCAAGTCACACAGGGCTAGGAGACCCGTCCAGGGGTCACTCACCTGCTTCGCTCTGGTTGTAGGCGCGCAACAGGGTCCTCAGATTATCACGGAAAATCTGTGCGTTAGCTTTGGCGATCCGAGTCTGCCGCTCCCAGTACTCGGGCCGCTTCTCCTCCATCCACGGCGCCCGCGGCTCCTCTCTGGGGCTCATCGCGTCGCTGTCGAACCACACAAAGCGCGTGTCGTCCACGAACCCGAAGGCGACGAACCGCGGTTGCCCGTGTCCCGGCTGCGTCATGGCAGTGCCGAAATAACGCAGCGAGTGCGAGCCTGGAGGAAGCAAGAAGCTGGCGGCGGCTCCACCGCCCTCCCAGCATCCGGAGCTGGTGCGCGGGCCGGGAGGGGAGCGGGGCGCGGGGCCCGGGACGCGGGTGGGGAAGGGGCCGGAGGGTCTGGCTGGACGAAGCCGGGACGCGGCTTCCCCGGTGCCGCCCCCGCCCTCCCCGCAGACGCCGTTACCCTCCCGACCCTGCACTCACCCGCGCGGGTCTGGGTCGTGGCCAGGGCGGCCGCCAGCAGCAGGAGCAGCGCGCGCAGCGCCATCGCCCATATCTCAGATCTGGGGAACTTTTGATCTCTGCGCGGTTTTTAGAACCCGGAACCTCGCGGGGGCTTCTGCCCAAACCGGACACCCAATGGGAGTGGGAGTTATCCTCGCGTCATAAGTCTCTAGGCAGAAGAATCTGACTCAGTTTGGGAGACCAGGAAGCAAACCGTGTAGGCGAGGGGGAAATCTCCAGGGTTTCTTTCTCAGCCACCTGTCATCCCGGACAAGGGACACCGGCCTTTATCCTGCCTCCCAAGAGCGTTCCTCGTGTTGTCTCTCTTGATCCAGTTCAAGCATTGTCTAGGTCAGCTGTTCGCAGTCTTTCCGGTCTCAGGATCTCCACGTGCTCTTAGGATTTAGTGGGTTTCCCCAAGGAAAACATGTTTTTGTTTGTTTGTTTGCTTGTTTTGTTTTATGTGAGTCATATGGATGAATAACATTAGAAACCAAAACCTTGTAAAATGTTTCAATTTGTTTAGGATATTAACAAATCCATTATGTTGACAAAATAATTTCCCAGTCTGCAGTGTGGGTCTTCTTTACAACTTCACAAGTTTGCAAGTCTTTTTCTTAATCTGTTTCAGTACAGACTGATGGATTTTCATATATACTTGTTGCATTTAACCTGTTATTCCAGTTGAGCGTGAAACAATCAGCTTGCCGTACCCACACATGTAGGCGGAAGATTTTAATGCTCTTATCTGGTAATTGTGGATACCCATGTTTGTTGCCACAACAAAATAAAAATGTATTAATATTTATTTAGACAGGGTTCTTGAATTCTACCTTGAACTTGGAGTGAAGGAAGTAAAAAAATTAATTTTGTACATATGTCAAGGTACATTGAAGTCAGCAAAACTGACACATAAGGCACATCACAAGACTAAAAGTTCAAAACAGAAAAGTTAATTTTGTATATATGTCAAGGTACACTGAAGTCAGCAAAATCGGCAATCAGACACATCATGAGACTAGAAAATTCAAAATAGAAAACCAAATACCTAAGAACTGGCCTAGTACTTAACCCACCATTGACTTGCCTTCTCTAATTTTCTGATTATGCTATTTCGCTGTGCCTTGGATAATAGACACCAAGGGGGTCTTGCTCTAGCAAGCCTTTCCAGAAATTAGGGTCTAGTACAACATATGTTCTCCTCCTATTATCTTCTTCATCATAAATTCCAGTATAAGGAAAGGGAGCAGCCATTGTCCTAAACATTTGGAGAGATTCCCTATTTACTGGAGGAGCCCACCACGGACCCCTGATTTTGTTGGTTCTGTTTCTGGCAAGGAAGTTGGAACATCAGTGGTGGCCAGAGGAGGAGCATCCAATTTTACCGGGCCTTCAATCAGATTGGACCCTTGAGGCATACTTATTCCTACAAAAGAAATTGATATAAAAAAAAAGACAGGGTACAGAAACATCCATCGGTTATTGCTAGAACAAATCTGGAACACATCCTTGATATGGGATGCCAGGGATCTTCCAGGACCCCAGTTTCAATGAAACTTTTGCCTCAGGCCAGCGACCAAGTTTTAAGGCTTGTCGTGCAGACGCCACTGGAGTGGGTGTGGCAGGGGAGAAATGCCATCATCATTCCTGCTATGGGCCTGCATGCTGCGGTACCAGCGTACATGGTAAGATGTCCAACACAAGGTAGGATAGACAATAGAGCACTTTCTCTGGATTTGCCAAATACAAATGGGCTGGACACTGCAAATGTAATTCTCACCCGATAGTTGTTCTTATTGTATACAGTTTCACTGTGTGAGTCAAAACCTTTCCTTTTCATTTAGACAAAAGACAGAAATGTTTTGGGATAGTGGATCGAACTGTGACACCCTGAGACTGCGCTAGTAAAGTTAACCGTGAATCAGGGGGTGGATTCAGCAACTAGTTGATAAGAATTAGTCATAAAGACTACGGAGGACCTAGGATATGGTTTGAGAGGCACAGGAAGGAATAGGGAGGGACTTGGAGATTTGTGTGAGTTTTTTTGTCAGCCCCTTTTTGGTCTGGAAAGTGTGGAGAGAAGTTCAGCTGGTGGCTCTCCACTGCTTCTTTGATTTCTCAGGTTTTCACCCCAATATCTGACTCCTGTCTCTATTGGCAATAGAACAACTAAGGTAATATAACACGGCTCAGGTGTTAAAAGTACTTGCCACTCCTGCAGAAGCCCTGACTTTGATTCCCAACGACCACATGGAGATCTGATGCTCTCTTCTGACCTTTTGGGAGCACCAGACACTCATAGAAATGCGCAGACATGCATGCAGGCAAACATTTCATATACATTAAATACGACTTTAAAGATTAAGAAAAAGAATTAAGACACCGGAGTATGTCATGCGTAGAATCAGCAACTTTTTTGAATTTTTTTTCTTTTTATGTGTACGGGTGTTTTGCCTGCATGTATGTCTTTGTACCATATGTGTTCATTGCCTGGAGGAGGAGGGTTAGCTGAAGAGGTTGCTGGCTCCCCTGGGACTTGGGTTACAGACCGTTGTGAGACACTATGTGGGTTCTGGGAACTGAACCCATCATCAAGAAGAGCAGTCAGGTCAGGCGGCGGTGGCAGCATACCTTTAATCCCAGCACTCAGGAGGCAGAGGCAGGTAGATCTCTGTGAATTCGAGGTCAGCCTGGTCTATAAGAGCTGGTTCCACGACAGTCTCCAAAGCCACAGAGAAACCCTGTCTCAAAAAACGAAACGAAAAAGAAGAAGAAGAAGAAGAAGAAGAAGAAGAAGAAGAAGAAGAAGAAGAAGAAGAAGAAGAAGAAGAAGAGCAGTCAGTGTTCTTAACCACCAAGACATCCCTCCAGCAGCTCTTACCATACTTTGAATCCAGAATGTTCTGCTTAATGAGTTTTCTCTCTGGATTCTGGATCTCACTCCAGAATCAGTTCACCTCAATTTGACCTCAAGAAGGTTTCTTGAGGCAAAAGGAGTGACATAAGGCACCAGTGGATGTCTTCCTGGAAATCAGTGTGCTGTTACATCTGACTCAAGCATGGAGTATGGAGGTCTCTTTTGGGATCATTGGCAAATGAGTGGTCACTAAACACTAGGTGGGTCTTGAGGTTGTAAAGAAGGCTCAGCAGTCAGGAGCACTGGCTTTTGTTCCAGAGGACCTGACTTTGGTCCCTAGTGTCTCCATGAGAGTTGACAGCTGCCTGTAACCCCAGTTCCAGAGGACACGAAGCCTTCTTCTGGCACCCATGGACACTAGGCTTGCAAGTGGTGCACAGACATGCATACATGCAGATAAAACACCTATAAAAATAAAATAAACCATCACATGGGTCTTTGGCTAGTGGAGATGAAGGAGCGGAGGTAACATGCAAAGCAAAAGAGTGGAACAGCTCAGTGGCAGTCAAGGGAACTGGCCAACACCGCTTCAGGGAGTCCTTTGTGGCCATCAGGAACGGTGGCAGTAGCAGCTTGATGTATGGTGGAGGCAGCTTCGTGCTGCATGTGTAGAAGGCAAGGAGCTCTGCTCAGAGACCTCTGCTCAAGTGAAGATGAAATTCTTGACTTGAAAAGAAAAAAGAATTTAAGAACTACCAGTATGCCGGACGTTGGTGGGGCACACCTTTAATCCCAGTACTCACTCGGGAGGCAGAGGCAGGCAGATCTCTGTGAGTTCGAGGCCAGCCTGGTCTACAGAGCTAGTTCCAGGACAGCCTCCAAAACAATGCAGAGAAACCCTGTCTCGGAAAACCAAAAACCATAACAAAACAAAACAAAAAAAATAACTACCAGTATGAAGCAAAGTTCAAGTTTATCAGGGGAGGCATTAACAGATTTAAACATGAGGCTGACTAGAAAGAGAGGCATTGCCCGGCGTTGGTGGCCCACGCCTTTAATCCCAGCACTTGGGAGGCAGAGGCAGGTGGATCTCTGTGAGTTCGAGGCCAGCCTGGTCTACAGAGTGAGTTCCAGGACAGTCTCTAAAAAAAAAAAAAAAAAGAGGACGGAGAGAATCGAAAGATGGATTTCAACTTCTCAAGACAGAGATATTATTTTAGTCATCTTGCTTTGATTGGGCTTACCCATTAAGTAAACCATGGGAATATGTTTTTCCTATTTTTAAATTTAAATTACAAACAAGTTTCTTTTATGTGTCAATCCTAGTTCCCTCTCCCTCTCCCCCTCCCCTGCCCCCCACTTACCCCCTTTCTTCATTCCCTTTCTGCTCCCCAGGGAGGGTGAGGCCTTCCATGGGAAGAATTTGCCAAACAAAATTACCACATCTTTATTTTCAAGAAGGAAGAATACATTTATAGTTCATTGGAAACTAAGTTCAGTCTCTGACAGAGGTCTCCCAGACCTGACTGTCCTGGATCAGGACACACACACACACACACACACACACACACACACACACACACACACACACACACACACACACACACACACGTCAGTGTGGAGAGGAGTCGTTCTCAGATCTGGGCTGAACTCACTTCCCTTATATCAGTGCTGACAGGAGCCAGACCTTGCACACAGTTAGATGCCAGTTTTGGAAAGAAAAGTCAGGAACTTTTGAAGTTGCACAAGGTGGGTGTTTCACACTATAGAAGGAAATAATTAAGAACAGATTCTGAGTGAAGAAAGAAAGAAAAAAAGAGATCGCCATAGCTCAGAAATGTGTTCTCCAAACATTTCCTATCCTTCTGCGAGAGACGCATCAGATCCCTGGGTACTGTCCTTGCCTAAAGCAGTACAGAGTAAGTCCTCTTAAGAGCCCACAGCAATAGGAACAAAAGAGAAATGTGTGAGCCCGACCATGGTATCTGTCTATTCTATTGCAAGGGTCTCTGGAAACACCTTAATTACCAGCAGCCAAATTATGGCTGCCTCTTTCCCACCTGTGGGGAGAACCAACCAGTGAGAGGCCATGAAAGTCACGAGACAAGTGGGAAGAAAATCCTAGCTTAACCCCAGGGAAGTTTCTAGAACTGTGACGGCAGCTCCGTGGAAGGAGGAGGAAACATGTTGGAAGATTGTATGTAACTGGTCTGTTCTCAGTAGGGACCTTTTCTGTGACATCTGTTGCAGTGATATCTTGCTTGTACAAATAAAGCCTGTCTGAATGGAGCTTGACGCTAGCTAACCATAGAGGTCTGGAGGTCTATACAGACAGACAGGAAGTGAGGTAGCTGTGCGGAAACAGGATATGGGCACCATTCGTAGACAGAAGTCTCTGTCTCTCTTGGTCCTGTGGCTATCTAGTCCCAAGTAATGTTATGTTAATTGTAAAATGTTTGGCCTGTGGCTCAGGCTTCTTATTGGCTGGCTCTTTTTAAACTATTAACCCATTTCTATTCATCTTTACATGGTCTTGGCTTACCGGCGATGCCCAGGTCTCATCCTTCCTCGACAGCTACATGGCGCTGTCTCCCTGAAAACTCACTCTGTGCATTTCCTCTTCCCAGAATTCTCCTAGTATGGCAGACCCACCTATACTTCCAGCCTGGCTACATCCTGCCTGTCCACTGACCAAAAGTTTTATTCATCAACCAATAAGAGAAACATACATTCACAGCACACAGAAGGACATCCCCCATCAATCTGTCTGTGGGGAATCAGAATCAGGTCTCCATCAAGAGGGGGATGGGTCCGTCCAATATTTATTTGCCTTATGCTTTCTAGTAGGGTTAATGTCAGCTCCAGCCCTGTGTGGGGATACAACTTTCCTCTTATGGGGCAGGGTTCATTTATATAGCTTGGGCTCCGCAATTCCTAGGGCGGGCGACAGGAACTCAGATCCTGCCTCTTCCTCACCTTCACTGCTTCCATATCAGAAAAATCGCTGCAGTTCCTATAACCAAAGCTCCAAGAAGCAGGCCAATAAGAATCAGCAAGGTGGTTGGCTGAGGAGGCTCTGATGAGGGAGAGGAAGGAAGAGTGAGGACCCTCACCCCTGCTCTCAACCCTGATCCCGCCCTGGTTCTTCTAAAGGGCTCACACATTCCCTGACAACAGGCTCTTGCGCCAACCCAGTCCTTACCCCATCTCAGAATGCGGGGCTCAGGCAGCCCCTCGTGATTCACATGGCACGTGTATCGCTGCTCCTCTCCAGAAGGAACCACCACAGCTGCCCACTTCTGGAAGGTTCCATCCCCTGCAGGCCTGGTGTCTCCCAGCTCCATGTCCTGGGTCTGGTTGTTTCCATCCTTCCGCCAGCTCAGGGTGATCTCAGCAGGGTAGAAGTTCAGGGCCAGGCATCTCAGGGTGACATTCCCTCCAGGCCTCACTTGATGGGCCACATACATTTGGGGAGGGTCTGAGGGGAACAGTTGGAAAATTCAGGCATTTTGCATTCCTGGACAATGCTCACGTGCCCATCCCTGGAGAGGTTGGGGGAGGTGGATAATGGAGGGGAGCAGAGTTCACACAACAGTCTAAACTCAGGAATTGGACAGTGTACTCCTTGGGAAATTTCTCAGAATGATCACAAGGCCAGCACAGAGCAGGAGACACTGAATCTCCCCCTGGGTAGACTAGACTTCTGGTTCTGTCTGGGCAGGGTCTGAGAGACTCAGGGACCCTGGAGTCAGACGGTCAATGCAGTAGTGCATGGACAGTGAGCAGGCCTGAGAGAGGCCGTGACTCACAACGCAGTTACGGAACTGCTGCTTAATTGGCACACTGGGATATCCTGGGAGAAGGGTGAACCCCCTGAGAGTTCCTCTCTCATGTTGAGTCAGGAAACTCTGGGGCAGCCTTCCCCCTTTGATGCAAGACAGTGTAAGTATTCCAGCTGCTCCCCGCTGGCCTCAGGAGACAGGAGTTCTAATCTCAGAAGAAGGAGTCTCTCTTACCAGAGCACCTCTCTTACCAGAGCGCAGCAATGTCTCCTTCCCCAAGTCCAGGTGTCTACGAAGCGTTTCCACACACTTCCCCTGCAGGTAAGTCCTCCAGCTCTCCGCCGTTCGGTCTGTCTCCCAGCTGAGCCTAATGATCTGCCCTACCTTGCCCTCTGCAGTCCAAGAGCTCAGGTCCTCGTTCAGGGTGATGTAATCGTGACCATAGTAGGTGAACCGATAGTGACCGCGAAGGAAGCTCCCGTTATTTTCCACATTGCAGCCGAGCACCTTCTGTAGAGTGGGGTAGTCTGCCCCAACCCCCATTTAGCTATCACTCACTGCTGCTTCTCCCCTTCCGGATTTTGTCCCAAACCAACCCTCTAACTGGGACACAGTCCGAGGTTTAACCTCGGGCCTGGGGACCTGGATTGGAGCGAATTGGGCAGGACCACGAGGTCGTGGGGGCGGGGGGTCGCGATCTGGGATCACTCACCGTTCTTCTTGTGTTTGTAGTAGTTCATCAGGACCTCAAGTAACTTTCGATCATCCTGTGAACTGTACAGGACATCCTGTGTTTCTGCCTCCCAATACTCAGGCGGCTCCTGCTCCATCCAAGGAGCCCGAGGTTGCATCTTGGCAGTGGCTGAGTTGCTGTCGAATCCCATGACCTGTGTGGTGTCCACATAGCAGACATGGACGAACCGGGGCTCCCAGGTGTTCGGTGCGTAAACCAAGGTGTCGAAAAGCTGCAGCCAGTGTGAGCCTGGGGATGAAGCACGTAGAGACCCTGACCCTTCTGCCCGGACCCAAGGCAGATTAGGTTGGTGGGCTGGGAAGGGAGCAGAGCAGGGGTGGTGAAGGGGGAGGGGCAGGGTCACCCAGCTGGGAGAGCAGGAAGGGTCCGGTTAGGCGATGGTAGAGATGCTTAGATTCCCAGATTCCAAGTGCTGCGCACTGCTCCCCCAAAGGCCATTTCTCTCCAGGTCCCGCACTCACCCGCACCGTTCTGGGTCAGGGCCAAGGCTACCAGCAGCAGCGGCAGCAGGAGGGCGCAGGGTCTAGATGTCCTCATCCTCCAAGATGAGCGGTGTCTCTGTCAGGATTCTTTATAACTCTGATGTGGGCGAGGCTGACTGGCTTCGCTAAGAATTCCCAATGGTGGTGACGTAGACCTGATGGGTTGGGTCATGGAGAGATGAACTCCTGGAAAAGAAATATATAGGGTCCTGCTTCCCTGATTTGAACTCAGTTGTGTGGCCTAGCATCCTGGGATCAGTGTCTGAAGGAAATGACGCCGTGAAAAGAACTTTTTGGGTATTTTTGTTTGTTTGTTTTTACGAGACAGGGTTTCTCTGTATTGTTTTGGAGGCTATCGGTCCAGCCCGGCCTGGAACTCACAGAGATCCGCCTGCCTCTGCCTCCCGAGTGCTGGGATTAAAGGCGTGCGCCACCACCGCCTGGCCTTTTTGGGTATTTAACATTTCTGGGAGCCCTTATCTTCATCTTTCCCACTACAGATTGCCTGGATGTTATGTCTCCTTTTTAACAGTTTTGTTTTATTTGAATTGCAGGAAATAAATGCGGTTTCCCAGACATATTTTAAGAAAACCAATGAACAATCTTAAGATTTGGTTTTATTTGTGTGTGTTTTTGTGTGTCTCTGTGTGTATGCAAGGAATGTGAATGGTAAGACCCAGAAAAGGAAGTGGGAAACCCTGGAGTTGGAGTTAACACGAACCTGTGATCTGCCAGCCTAGAGTGCTGGGAAATCAACTCAGGCCCATGGCAAGGACAGTTAGGGCTCTTCACAACTCCTGAGACATCCCGCAGGCCCAGCAGAAATATTTTCATTAACACCTTTAAACAATTGTAGTATTTCTTTTGAGACAGGGTTTTAGTAAGTTGCCTTGGCTTGCCTGGGAGTGGCTACATGGACCAGAATGACCTAGAATTCAGATGTCTACCTGCTTCTGGCTGCAGATTGCTGGGATTAAAGGAATGTGGCAACACAGTGGGCCAACTAATCGTCGATTTTTTTTTTCTCACTGACAGTCACTAAATCGGCACAGGTGGTACTTTCTCAAGACTGTTTACACCGTGGGCTTGAATCATCACTGAGTTCTTCATGGTCTGCCGCACCCACATCAGAGGGCGAGGCTCGTATATCGAATGACTGCTATGTGAATGAATGTTACTTTAAAGCAGGACTTCTTTGACCAACTCCCAAAACCCAGTCTTTAACTTGGCCGCCACGCATTTCACAGGAAGCTTTGGAAGCCTTTAGTGGATGGGGAAGCGTTCAGGTGCTCAAATCCCTAGGGATATCTGGAGAGCATGGGTTTTATCCTTGTGGGAATCAACTGGGGAAGGTGGGAGACGGATCATCGCCTTTTACACCTTTTATGGTGGAGGGGGTGCAGAGCAGTCAGGTGGAAGAGTTCCACCAGCTGTGTGTGTGTGGCAGCGGGTGCGGGCTCAATGTTTTCAGAAATAGTTGTCTAGCTAGGCAGTTTCTATTTTCAGGTCCCTGGAATGAGATCCGCTCTGTGTGAGTGAGGGGAGTCTGGACTGGCTAGTGTACAGTTCTGTGAAGTTAGCAAGAACCTCTCTGTGTTGTGCCCAAATTCTGAACCCCAAAATCACCAAGAGGCCCATTTTGATGCAAAAGCAAAGAGTCTTTTATTGTAGATGTTTAATGAGCTAATCCCACTAGCTTGGGCCCTTCACCCCACCACCTTGGCAAATGGCTGGAGAAAGACCCCAAGCAACCTTGAGGCAGGGATCTTAAAGGGCAGCATAAGGGGAGTGTCTAGGGGTATGAATCAGTCTCAGGATTGGTGCGCTTCCAGGTTTGGGTGACCTGACCTGTGTTGATTGGCCAACTGGTTGTTATGGCCCATAGGCCCTTAAGCCCTGGTCAGAGGCTCTGGTCACAGGGTTGGGGTGCTGCTCTGAGATTTCAGTGTCCAGCACTCTGCTGTCAGCTGTTAGGCTGGAGGAGGTGGGGTTTTCCGTTGGAGGCTTGGAGCAAGCTTTTGGAGACTCCCTAGTGAGAACCTGTTTTCTGAGCTCTTATTTATGGCCTTCCCTCTGCTGCTGGCAAAAGTTAGTCAGTGGATTATCTGAAGTGGGGATTCTCAACCGTCCTAATGCTACAACCCTTTAATACAGTTCATCATGTTGCGGTGACCTCTCCCCCCCCAGCCATAAAACTATTTTCCTTGCTGATTTATAACTGTAATTTTGCCACTGCTATAAATTGCAATATAAATGTTTTTTGGAGATGGAAGTTTGTCAAAGGGGTTGTGACCCTCGGGTTGAGAGCTGCTGATCTAGAGGGATATGGTTAGGTCCTTGTTGGGAACTTGGCCATATTTAAGTATCTAAGTCTATGGAATTGTTACTTCTCTTTGGTTCTTTCAAACTGTCATGGGTTCCATCAGCATGAGATTATTACATGGTACAAGCCATTTTTTGTTTGTATTAAAAATATTCTCTAGTAGTTTATTAACAGAATCCTTTTAATGGAGGAAGGCAGGATGGGGCATGCCGTCATGCCAACCCTTGGGAAGCAGAGAAGTTCAAGGCCCCCTCCCGAGCTAGACGGGGATTCTTTTCTCAACAGAACAAAACCAACAGCAAGAATCCATGATGGGGGAAGTCCTTCTGTGTATATGTTAATAAAGCACTATTGGCCAATAGGGAAGCAAGATAGGTGGGATTAAGGAGTTGAGGAGGATCCTGAGAAACAGAGGCACAGTCAGTCAAGATATAGGGCGCCAGAGGAGTAAGAGGTCTAGACCCTTTCTCCGGTAAGAGAAGACCATGTGGGAATACTCAGATTAGCAGTTATGGGTTAGTAATTAAGTCAGAGCTAGCCAATGAGAAACCAAGCAAACGGCCAACAACTTCATAATAATTAATACAGTGTCTCATGTGTTATTTGGGGGCTAAAGAGGCAACGGGACCCGGGCGGCTGGCGGGAAAGACTGCACATTACAAATCCACGTATAGTTTAATACTTCCTGTCTACAAGTCTCATCTGATAAGTTACTGCAATATTTTCTGGACGTGGATAGGTGGACACACTTTCGAGTGTCTCGGGTGATCCTGGGTGTCATGGCAGCACCCAAGTAAAGCCAGCACTCGGGAGGTGGAGGTAGGAGGCTCAGGGTCAAGACCCTGACGGAAGGGAACACACAGGCACAGTCTGATAGAATCTCCAGAGAATGAGCTGGGGGAAAGCTGGAGAGTAGCCACCAGGAGATGCGAGTGACTAACTTATTAGCCCAAATAAAACAAAACAAAACAAGACCATAGGAAGTGTTAGGGAACAGAACAGGGAAGAGTCCTCCTGCGGTGTACCTAAATGAAGCCTCATGTCAGGATCCTAAAGATGAACTTTGTGGGAAGCTGAGAGTCACTGACCTCCTTGCTCTTCTTCCCTGTCCCCAAGTCTCCTTTCCTCTGTCCTCATGGCTTTAATAGGCTTATTGTGAATGGGCGGTCAAGAAACCAGGCTTTGACCCCAGAGAATTCTGTTGACAATACCACAAAGAGTCTCGTATCCAGGTGCCTTCATGGGGAATGATGGCAGAACCCCCCTCCCCGACAGAGAAGAGGGGTGACACCGTACTCATGTGCAGCACTGAGGACAGGTCTAACTGTAGAAGTCTGGGACAAAACCTGATGGGGGACTGATGGGATGTCCTTCTGTACATATGTCTCCCTTATTGGCTGATGAATAAAACACTGTTTGGCCAACAGAGACAGGAAGATAGGCAGGACTAGGAGATGAAGAGAATTCCAGGAAAGGTAGGGCAGAGAGTGACCATGAAAGGACGCTATGTAGAGACTAGGAGGATAGGACACGCCAGGCCAGGCGTTCTCTGGTAAGATGAGGCCATGTAGAAATACACAGATTAGTAGTTACGGGCTAACAATTAAGGCAGATGAGCTACCCAATAAGAAGCCCTGGCCGTCGGCCAAAATTTTACAATTGATATAGGTCTTTGTGTGTTCATTTGGGGCTGGAAGTGGCAGCCGGACAAGAAAGACTCCAGCAACACTGGGACACCTGGCCACACGTGAAAATCTGCCAGGAATAAGCTGGGGTGATTTGGATAAAAACCATCAGAAGTGGTGAGTGATGACTAGAATCTGCGACTTACTAGCAAAACATAAGACAGGAAACTTTACAAAGCAGAAAGGGAAAGTCCTGAGCTCTTGAAGGAGGCATTGGTGGGTCTAGACAGCATCCTCTCCCAGTAGAAGGGACCGGAGCTATGGGAAAGACAGAAGGCCCCTGAAGATCTCTGTCAGTAACAGATATTTTAAGGTGGGAGAGAAGACACAAGGGAGACAAAAGCTGCATGCATCCACAGCAGGAGAGATACTGGAAAACTGTCTCCCCTCAGCACCAGACCAGAGCAGTAGCCCAGTGCTGTTTTTCACAGACTTCTTCTGCTGAGCAGGTGGCTGGCTAGCCCCACGCCCTCCCTCCAGTACCACACTCTTGGGAGCAGTCGGAGCACATGCACGGGGAATATGTGCTGGAACCCGGCAGGGTTTCCCACACACAGTGAGGAGGAAACTTTGAATCAGACCATGCAGAATTTCAGTGCGGTAGAAATCTCCTTAGACCTCGAGTCTGCAGGGAGCATAGATACAGGTGCCAAGTGTGTATGCTCACTGACGCCAGGGAGATCCCCACAGAGGCCCATCCGGTGTTTAGACTGCCAAGGGCATGGCTCAAGTGTGAGCAGCACTTGACCTGTGAGGGACTGGCTGCCCAGTGTGGACCAGTGCGCCTAGTGATGTAGACTGCTGCATCACATCGCATGCCCTGCCAAGTGAAATTGCAAAGGGTTGCCCAGGGTGCAGCAGATATCTGGGAACCCAGGAAGGAATCCCAAACTCATCAAGACTGCAAGCAGCAACCAGCTGAAATTGTATTCAGACTTTATAACCCACACAACTCTAGCTCTCTCTCTCTCTCTCTCTCTCTCTCTCTCTCTCTCTCTCTCTCTCTCTCTCTCACACACACACACACACACACACCACATACACACC